TTAATAATATAAGTTTAGGTTTTAGTTGTAAACATTGCTATTAGCGAATACTCTCCATATAACAAAATCGATCGTAGCCATTATTTTTTCATGATTTCTTATTATAATTTTCTTCTGTTATAACTTGCGAGATAATCTCAGGCAAACAATTGGTCTCAAATGATAACTCTATAATAAATAGAGATGATCAGCTTATTTTCTAAGCATTTCCTTCTGTTTCTTTAAACAATTGTTAACAAAGTTCGCATCTTTAATTTACAAAGTTTCGTTATAAACACTATGGCTAATTCCTAATCATGACAAAATTGAGCGGCTGGCTCTGTTAACAACTCGTTACCACTAAACCAATTTCTGAGCTCAGGTGACATATCTCATCAAGTTTTGATCGCAAAGGAAAACGTGAGCGTATTCTGATTCCAAAATTACTGATAGCCTTTACTACTACATCACAAATGCGCAACTTGGCTACAAACTACAATTTTTCACCTGTTGGTTATTCGCTATTCGAATGCAATACACTTTTAAAAAGTAGCTCTTCATATTTTTCCTTACTCGTTTTATATATGAAGTAAGCTACTGAAGAAACAGTATATGTTAACGTTAAAATAAGTCTACCCTATGCATAGCAGATTACTTGTCTGATTGTCTGCTTTACTGCTCGTCTCACTTCACTTATCTTCCAGCAGTAAAGTAACGGGTTTAAAGTAGAGTTAAATAACACTAGGACAGTTGCCATTTCGGTGATTATTATAAAATTCGGAAATCGCTCTCTACTAAGAGAGATCACAATTTTCAGTGTAACATATGGTACATAACAGACAACTAAAGCTAGCTGCACCCAAAGTGCATTGTACACTGCCTTTCTGTACCGCGCCATGTTCAGAGTAATTGATTGGCTCGCCTGTTGTTGAGCATGATCTTGTAATTGAGCTTGATGATGACTGAGAGCGCGGAAAATTTTTGTGTACGAGACGATTGAGATAACTAGGCAAGATGATGTAACTATGAAGCTGCACCAAAAGGTTATACGGTAATTTAGAAGAGAGAATAAACCAGCGGCTAGACATACAATCCAAAAGATAGCTAAAATGATGTACGTGCGCCTGAAAGTTACAATATCTTTGTATCTCAGTCCCAACAACAGGGCGAGAAGTCGGTCCACGCTTATGGCCGTCAACGTTGACAAAGACACCCCACATAATGCATAACCTGATATGTAGATTGCGTTCCTTACGTATCTACAAAGACTCCAATGTTCGTGAACCAAAGACATCCAATAGGTAGCACAGAGAGGCTGGGTAACAAGACCAACCAACAGATCAGTTGTTGCCAGACAACGATACAAGAGTTTGGATGGCGGATTGAGGGAAGATTCCTTGTGAAGGGCAACAAGGATGAGAGAATTCCCAAGTGTTGCTGTGATGGAGAATAGAATGTTGACTGCTGAGAACGAAATGGACTGTTTTTTAAACTCACCTATCCAAACCGGTGGGCATAGCAATCTTTCAAATGTTTTCGATTGTGTTCCAGTTCCTGTTATATTTGTTGTCGCCATTATCCTGCTGTCGCGTCCACTCTTTTGCGAGTTATTCTTAGTTACAAACAAGGGATATTTCGTCTAAACAGCAACCTCCGAGTCAAGATCAGTTAAAACTTAGTTTTTTAATAGCAATTAAAGAGAGTGAAAATTCATCACTACTACCTGACTATTCAGTAAACTGTGAGGTTTGTCGAACGAACGAGAAAAAAGACCGGTTTTTGTGCGCGAATTTGAATTGGTAATAAGGGTAATATAAAACTGTATTTGTGATAGGTTAATTTCCCAACACAACATAAAACAAAAAAAAAATGAAAGCGGAAAAAAAAACTTCTTTACTGTCGATTTAAAGTGAAAACAACGCCCATCTGCTTCTGGTTCTGTACGCCAGCTGCATGAAATAAGTGTGGTCCTGGCCTGTAAACGGCAAGTGAATCAGTTTTTTTTTTGCACTAAATTCTTTTGCAATTTAATGACGATGCATTGCAATCCGAAATCACCTAGCCTGGAACTAGGTAATTTGGCCACCGTAAAGAATTCAAAAGCTGAAGTTTCGAGCATTAGGCCTTCGTCAGAGCGAATGGAGGAATTGTGGGTTGTGTGAGTGTTTAGATGCAGAAACGCCATTTATGGGGGCATGATAACGAGAAAACAATAATAAATAAGTTGAATCACAAGCGCTTGTTGATACTGCGGTGATTAAGAGCGCCGATTTGAGAGATAAATTTTTTTCTCTAGATTATTGCGGCTTTCCGAACCGCCTGGATGTAGGGAAAGGCCGCGATAAGATTTAAGCGTCAGCGACTGATTTGGATGCGTCCTTGTCATTTCTGTCTACGTCATGAAGGTGTTCATGGAAACGGTCACCTAGTCGTCTTCCTATTTCACAAATGTATAACTTTTAGCAATAAATGCAAGTTATGCAGTAAATGACATTGGTGGAGGTGTACGTGAAGTGATCAATAGTCGCAATGGATCTCTTTGGTCCGACATCATGCCAACGTTAAAATAGGTCTACCCGTCTGCAAAGCAGATTGCATGTCTGATCGTCTGCTTTACTGCTCGTCTCACTTCACTTATCTTCCAGCAATAAAGGAACGGCCTACGTGTTGTTTGGATCGGACTCGTTTCCTTACCCGGATAATAGCGTGAATTATTAATTCACGTGACCTTGGGATGATACGAATTGTCAACAGCTTAGAAAAACGTAGAGAAAAAGTCCTATTTCAAAATTTATGTTGGTTAGAGATGCAAAGTTATTCTAAAAAGATTTAATTTTTTTTCTCTACATGTCGCATCTTTTAAAGGGTGGAAATGTTGGTCAAAACATAAAAAAGAATCAATTTCTCCCCCCACGGGACACAATGTGTGTGCAAATTATCACTGGTTTTAAGGCGGAAGTTTGCTCCTGAACATCACTGTCTGTCTTAGTTACCCGTAATTGGTAAACAGCATTTTGGACATGGCATCGTATAGTAGGGACAAATTTATACTCTCTGTGACCATTG